TCCCCAAGCATGGCAGCTTTATAGGCACTTGTAGGCCTGCAAAGAACACCAATTTGCTGCTACAGTTTGTTTTGATAACTGAAACTTTCAATAAATCTATATTAAAATCAAAGAGAAAATTAACTGGGCCCTGGTGAGGGGCCCAGAGATAAGGGAGCACATTACTAACATGGCCTCCACTGCCTTGCATCCATCTCTTAGTTCAGATTCGGGTCACCAGGGAGATGAATGGTACAGGCTTATGTCGAACAAGCATGAGGAGAGCAGGGAGAAGAGGGAATGGCTAGGTTCAGGCCCCTCTGATGATCCTGTAGAAGCTGGCAGGCGGGGAAGAGAAAGAGGTAGGGGGTGTGGTCACAGTGGGAAGAGGTGTTGGAGAATGTGGTGGAGGAGACAAGAAAGGTAACAACAGCCTCCACTTACTGAACTCTTCAGTGCCATGTACCCAGGCATCTTGGATTTAATTCTAACAATAGGCATTAGTGCTAGCTCCACCCTAGAGATGCAAATGCAGAAACCTGGAGAGTTATTTGATTTGTCTAAGGTCATAGCCACAGCCAGGGCTCAAACCCTGGCTTTCTAGGAACCCACGGTCCTTAGAACTACCATGCCATTCTGTGCAGATTATAGGAACTAGATGGTGGCAGCAGTTATTCCAGCCTCTGGATAAAGGGATTTCAGATCTAGCCTGGGTTCTCCTAGCTATGCCGAGTTGGGGGCTGCCATGCATCATCACTAGGGTCAGCATTCTCTGCCCTATTAATTCTTGGTTAAAGTCTCTTGTGTGACTTTTCCTGGAGAGTCTATCTCTGTTTGCCCTAGATATGGAGGGTAATGACACACCAAAGAAACAATCCCATCCAAGGCTTGCTTGATGCACCAATGAGCTTATTGGGGTTATCATACACAACAGCATGAATGGGGAGTTAACTTGGAAAAATATGGATGGCTTAGGCAGCTGTCTAACCCCCTCCCCCAAACTGGGTAACTATTTAGGAAAGCTATGTCACTCTATGCCCTTGGGCAGCTTAGGATCTGATACACAACCAGACAGGACTCTATTCAGCAATTCCTTACTCCTCTCACATAGCCATGGGAAGGGGCAGGCCCTGGAGAGCCCTCCCCCATCTCTCCAAGTGGGAATGTTCATAAGGAGCCCAATCTCATGAGTGCCTTGGGTGGGTGATCCCAGCAACTCTGACTCAAAAAGAGACTAATCACAGCCGTACTAGAGGCAACAGCCACACAAAGTCCCAGCTTTGACGACCACTTGGCTGTTTTATCCTTGGTGGCTGCCTTGTCCTTTCTTGGGATCTTGTTTTCATTGGTCTTAGACCATTAGCTCAGAAGCCAGGAGACTGTCCAGGATTTACCTGACTCAGTTCATCTGCCGTCCGATCTAAACCTGAACCCAGGTCAAGAGTCCACATGCCATTCTTGTCCCCTCGTCTGGCTATTCTGCTTTCTTTTGAGAGTGAGGGTTAGGTTTCGACTGTGTGCTATGTGTTGGGATTGCAGTGAGCCCAAGTGATCAAATCAAAGGCTTTAACACAGTTTCTAGTTTCAGATGTGCCACTGCTCTCCATGGTGTGAGATCTGACACCTCATTAGCTACTGGAATGATGGGGACTACTTTTTTCCTTCCCCTGTTTCTTTCTTTCAATCTCCTCTTCCTCCTCTTCTTCCTCCTCCCCCTCTTCTTCTTTTTAGATTTTCGAGATAGGATTTCTCTGTATAGCCCGGGCTGTCCTGGAACTCACTCTGTAGACCAGGCTAGCCTCGAACTCAGAAATCTGCCTGCCTCTGCCTCCCAAGTGCTGGGATTAAAGGCGTGCACCACCACCGTCTAGCTTTCTCTCTGTTTCTAATGTGATCATTCCATATCACCTATCTGAGATAGGATCTGCTAAGAGAAATGGTTTTCTTTGCTACCCTAGGCAACTTGGTAACACACTGCCTTGTATGTACACCCTCTCCTTTCCAGCCTCACTTCTTTCTTCCCTGGGCCTAGTCTTCCCAGTTAAGTGTAAATATATAAGCACAGCCTCCTCCTCCTTTCCCTCCTCCTCCTCTCCTTCCTCTTCTTCTTCCTTCTCCTTTTAGTCTTCCTCCTCCTTCTTCTCTTCTTCCTTCTTCTTCTAAATGTATGTGGGTGTATTGCCTGCATGGATGTCTGTGCACCACTTGTATGCAGTACCTCAAGAAGCCTGAAGAGTGCTTTAAATCTTCTAAAACCAGAGTTATAGATGGTTGTAAGCTGCCATGTGGGTCCTGGGAATCAAAACCAGGTCCTCTAGGATAGTCCTAGAATACAGATTCTTAAACTGTAAGTTATGAGTCTAAATGGGGTAATATAATAGATTTCCACACACAAAATGGCAACAGTAAAAAAAGTTGGGACTTCACTGCAGCCGTGGCCTTAAATACACAATGTGCAACTTTGCACTGTGCTTGGTGACTGCTTCAGTTCCTGCCTCCAGGTTCCTGCCTCCAGGTTCCTGCCTCCAGGTTCCTGCCTCCAGGTTCCTGCCTCCAGGTTCCTGCCCTGAGTTCCCTTCATGATGGACTATGATTGAGATGTGTAAACCAAATAAATCCTTTCCTTCCCAAGTTCCTTTTGTTTTATCACAGCAATAGAAAGCTAACTTGAACAACATATTTTTACTACCACAAAACACCAACAAACGCTGTATGAAACCCCTCAGCTCACATTCAAAACTACTGTATGGGATGAACTGGAGTGTTCTTATTGCATATAAAAAGTATGGTGCTCTTATAGAAACATAATACTTTAATTATGGGAAACAATAAGTTGGGCAGTGGTGGAATACACTTTTAATCCCAACACTGGGGAGGCAGAGGCAGAGGTAGGGGGATCTCTGTGAGTTTGAGGCAAGCCTGGTCTACAGAATGAGTTTCAGGACAGCCAGGGCTACACAGTGAAACCTTGTCTCACAAAACTTTTTTTTTGTTCTATTTTCTTATCATTCTTCCCTAGCATGTAAACGTCAACATAGCCCGTCTTTAGATTGTATTGTGTTAGAATGTTTGATTCTAAAAATTGTTGTTTGTGCGGCTGATGTGAGTTCTCTATGTATATTTAAAAACAGAATCATTAAAAATTTTCAGTGATCTCTGAAATGATGCTAGACATACATCCTGGTTGTTTTTTGGTCTACTTGAAACAAACTAGCATCATCCTCAACTGAGGAAGTGCAGTTGAGAAGATTCCTCCATTAGGTGGCCTGTGGGAAAGTCTTCTGGCATTTTCTTGGCTCAAGATTGGTGTGAGCAGTGCCACCCTGGGCAGGTGGTCCTAAGGTAATAAGAACATGGCTGAGCAGGCCACCAGAAGCAGATCAGTAAGCAGCACTCCTTCATGGCCTCTGCTTCAGTTCCTACCTCCAGGGCCGTGAGTGTCTGCCTTCAGTGATCCTGTGATACATAAGTATAAGCAAAATAAATGGTTTCCTCTCCAAGTTGCTTTTTTGGTCATGATGTTTTATCACAGCAATTGAAATGTGAAAGAAGACAGCATCTTATGGCTTCTTAGTTGTTTTACTTTTTATATTATCTTATATTATCCATCCCTTCCATTTCCTTTCCAGTAGAAAAGCTCCTTGAGGATACAGGTTTTGTATGTCTTACCATGTAACCATCAGCAACAGACAGTGTCCAATTCTGATGTATAAACACATGTTGATTAATGGGCCAACCTATGTTAATGTTTATGTAACGATTAAGAGGAAGAAGCCCGAGTTTCTGCTCCAAGAATTGGGGATAGGCAACCATGCCTCTCCTTTTCTCAGTTGGGGTTGAGTGATACCTGTCTCTGCTGCAGTGTATTCCTTCATTTGTCAGAAATACTTTAATTGTCTATACCTGACACCATACTGAGTATAAGCCATGCAGCATGAACAATATGGAAATAATACCTATCTTAAATGAGTTTCAATTTCTGGGAGAGAGATGGCACGGAGACAAAACAATTATAAAGCACTATGATCTGTTCTGTAGGTCCACAGTAGAACCATTTAACCCATTATGTGTATGAGATTAAAGAAGGCATTCTCTGATATGGGGATTACAGGCATTTCTAGCTCAGGCAGGAACCATTATATTAAGATATCAGAGGTGGCAGTGTCTAGAACTGATATTAGCTGTCTTAAGGGAAAATAGCAGGTGGCAGACAGAGGAGCTTGGTAACTGAAGATGTTTCCTAAGATGGATCTGACTGAAAGGCTGTTAAAATCACCAGTGGCTTAAGACTGATGCTTCCCATTTCATAACATGGTATCCATGAATTCCCAGAGAAGCACAGCTAAGATGGAGACACTCATTCATTGCTTTAGGTAAAGTTCTCCTCAGCTGCTTGGAGAGACTGTGAAAGCCCCACTACAGCTGTGGCCAGAAACCTTGTTAACCCTGACAGGGCCTCAACACCAGAAGCTTCTTCCTTAGAGAGGCCATTCAGAAATCTAAGCATTTTCTTTTTAGCTGAATTCGCCTCCCTTCTTTCCCTTCTTTCCAGATTTCCCTCAGGCCCGCATCAGAAAATAGATAACGATTACTTGTTGACAATGAATCACAGAAAGTGTCGCCTAAAGAGAATGTCTCCTAAGCCCATACTCACCGAGTGCCTACAGTAAAGATGGGGAAAATAAGTAGAGCATCTGGGTCATTCTAGGCTTGGCGAAGTTTTCGGTTTATTTGATTATTATCATTTATTTATTATATATATTTAAAAAAACCCAACACTTTCACTGTTTAGAAATGACCCTCCCCTTCTCTTTTGAATACGTGGCTTCTTCAAACTACAAGTCCCACAAGGCCCAGAGCCAACGGTCACCATCTTGACACACCTTAACGCGCATGTCGGCGGGAGAGAGAGCGTTTGGAGAGAAGAAGCCCCGCCTTATTCCAGCTCATTGGCCAAACGCGCTAGCGGCGGGCTCAGCGGTTGGCTACTACGCCCGCCCGTCCACCGCGTCGGTCGGGGTCAGAGTGCGCGGAGGTGAGTCGGTGTGTTGTGGACTCGTGGTGCTGGCTGCCGCTGTTGAGGCGGCCTGGAACGGGCTGTGGGGAGCGGGCGGAGCTGGCCCTGCTTCTGCCTGGCCAGCGCCGCAGGCGGCGCGGGCCGTGCCCGCTGCCGTCAACTGCCCGGAGCGTCTGCTGAGGCCGAGGGAGACGCCGGGGCCTGCACCTGGAGAGAGCCTGCCGTGCTGGCCCGGAGGAGGGGGCGTTGCCATGGCGACAGCCTCTCCGGCAGCTGACGGGGGGCGGGGGCGGCCCTGGGAAGGAGGGCTGGTCTCCTGGCCCCCTGCCCCTCCCCTTACGCTTCCCTGGACCTGGATGGGCCCGAGCTGGGGGCAACACCCTGGGGTGGGTGAGATTGAGAGGGCCCCCAGCTTGGGCCCTGGTTAATGCATGCGGGGTGTGGGTCGTGGCGCGCACACTTAAGCAGCCTGGGATTCTGGCCTGGTGCTCACCCTGGATGCACGTTATAACTCTTGGCAAAGGGGTAGTTGGGTAGGGCGGTGGGGGAGCTCGGCTTTGCAAGAAATTGGGTGAGTTGGTGAATCTCCAGTGAGATTACTGGAGAAAAAGAGAGGTTTGACCAGATAAAGTAGAAGCAGATTAAGGAATTATCTGTAGATTACCCCCTCCGCATCCTGGTACAGACACACATGTTAGCACATTATTTCCTTGTAAGTCACTAACTGTGGGTAATAATGGTGGACAGAGTGGAGAAAGAGCTTTAACCCGGGTAGCTTTTTGTATGCCTTTATTGCAAATGGCCCAGCAACAGGTGCTTTCTTAAAACAAAGAAGGCTTAACTTGGATTGAGTTCTTGTAAAATGTCAGGTGCTCAACGTTGACCTGGAAGATGCTGGGTATGGGGCCCCTCATTTGGATAAGAGTTTGTCCCTCAGGCTGGATTTTGCAATGACTGGGGCCAACAATTGTCTCTGACCATTTCTGTGGCATGCATTTGACAGTGCATGTCATCAGTTTCCCAACATAAGGGCAGCAAAATATGAATCCCACTGGCCAAGGACTAATCTATGTAACTATAGTAGGTTGTGACTGGCCGAATGATTTTTGGCTGTAAAGTTTGTACCAGAAAACTGGCTTCATCAAATTCAGCTTTATTTTGATGTTATCATACACAGTATACCTTGTTTTAGTGGGCTTGGTCTTGGACTTTAAGTATATTATACTTGAATCCCCTATCATTTAAAAGCCCATTTATAAACAGCGACTTGGAGTGTGACTCCACTAATGTGTGCCTGTGGTCTTGGTTAGAAACCCACTTGGCTGCCTGTCGGCAGGTGCTGAATGGGGAAAGGGAGCTGGCGGGGAAGTGATTGATAAGGTTTCCTTTATGGATTCTGTGGTGCTTCACTGGAGCTCAGAGCACTTTGGCAACTTAAGCACTCCAAATTAAAAGCTCATTAACAATTCCTGCCCAAAGATCCTGTAAATAACCAGCTAGTTAAGTCCAAGAGCTTGGCCACGAGCTCTCCTTTTAACTTGAAATTTCCAAATAAAAGTGCTTTTATTCCATTTCATTTAGAAGAGTTTACTCCCTGGTGGGATAAACTGGGGAGTGCTCTGTTCCCAGGGGATCAGGGTAGAATAAAGTCTTAAGTGTGTGGAAGAGTAGACAGGAGTAATGGTTCCAATTGTCGATGTTTGTGCAGAGGGCTTCATTAGCTGACAAGATCATGTCTCTGATTTCTGAGCCTTTAGAATATCTGAATTAGGTGATGAGTATGAGGTGATGAATATGATAGATAGGCCTTGATACTTTTTAAAATTTTTTAGTTTTAGATGGCCTTGGTGTGTAACCCTGGCTGGCTTCTGCACGTGCTGCCTGTGATTGGTTCCCATGATGTCTTGATTTGGAGTTTGATTAGCTTGACTTTTTTATAATTTGAGGCAAACTTGAAAGTATTTTGAAAAGGTTTCCATTATAGTTACTGCCTATACATTTGTGGCAGTGAACTCTTCTCTTCAATCCTGGGTCAGCCCCAGTTCCTGAGTTCTGAATATTGCAAGCCTTGTGTCCTTTCCTGATAGGCTTCTGAAATTATCCAGTGAACCACCACCTCATGATCATCATTTTTAGTTGAGGCTCACATATTATGAATATTTGCTATTTCTAGAAGATAAACTTCCTTAAGGAGAACACTATACTAGAGAACATGAAATCCATAATTCATATTCAAGCTCGTGCACATGCATGCACATCTGCATGTATGTAATATTAGTTAATAGCATCTGAAAGGTCTGTGGGGCCATTGTCTTTCCACAGAAATAGCTAAATCCCAAAGTTTGAGTTAATGAGTTTAAGAGTGACTGTTAATGAGGATTTAAACCTTGAGTTGAAGTATACCTGTTGCAGAAATGTGTGTTTGTCCACAGCATTGGGGCTTTCCAGCTCTCACAGACCCTTCAGCATCTCCAGCTGCCAGTCTTGGCATCTTCGAAGTAAGGAGAGGTGAGGATTCTGTTGCATGATCACATTTGGTGTCTGACTGATTGGGTTTGGTGGGTATGGGATGGTGGCTGGTGTAGTGTATTTTTCTGTAGCTTCTAGTATGATAGGCAGCATATGCTCCAACTTAGTGAAAGAAAGTTGACTAAAATCTCTAGAGTAAGCGTTGGAGAAGATGAGTGATCTAGACTCCAGTTCTGTCATGATTTGCTTTTTTTTTTACTCCTTAGTACTGGGGAATGAACCTAGGACCTTGCAACACGTTAGGCAAGCATGCCAGCACTGAACAATATTATTTAAGTCTTTTCTTTTTTTCCTCACTTATGTTTGATCTTAACTAAATTGACCAGACTAGCCTCAGACTTGCAGCCCTCCTGCTTCAGGCTTTACCTAGTGACTGGGATTATAAGCATGGACTACCATGCCCAGCCATGATTTTTTTAATGGACACCTTGCTTTTAGGGTTATTGAGTAGGGCTGGGATAGCCCTATATTCTGAGAAATGCTTATCTTAATTCAACAGTAAGACCATCTCTCATGTGACTCTTGTGATATATTTGACCAAATCTTTTGGATTTGGGTTTGAGTTATGTGTCACCCTTGAGTGAATGAATGATTGGTCCCCACCTACTGCCACCTGGACTGACTAAAAAGGTAGGCTTTTGATGATTGATATCCAGGGATTTGGAGGTTGTTTGTTCAATAACTGAGGCCCAGACACTTTGCTAGTCGAAAGGATTATAGTGGAAAAGCAGACTGTGTGTGATACACACAGGTTTAGGATGCAGGGGAGAGACCAGCAGCAATGCAGCAATGATGGTGCACCCACTAGTGCTGCAGCAAGGGACCAAGTTCTCTGAGACTGCCCAAGTGTCCTTACTGTGAACTTGCAGACTGAGGTGGCTTCTCAGAGGAATCCACCCCATTACCTAGAAGTCAGTAAACATGAGGGAATGTATCAGCTTTGTTAGGGTTGAAGAAGTTCAGTGGGATTAGAAGGCAGACAGGAAATGAAGCAGGAAAGGTGAAGCAGAGTGTCGGGCCTTAGAAACCCTAGTGAGACGATTGGGTGAGAGCGGGTAGGTGGAGGGGTAAAGAATACAGGTTAGCAAGCTTTTCTAGGACAGACTAAATACTTAGGGTCTGTGACTGTTACATCTGTACAGCTTGTAATAAGCATTTCAGCAGTTTGAATGATGTGAAGGTGAACATGATTGTGTTATAGTAAAAAATATATTTATAAAAGCAGGAGGCATTTGGATTTGGTTCATGGACTATAGTTTGTCTATCTGGATCAGAACAGTAGGAAGACATTAAAAGATTGTGAGCCACTTAGGGAGGTGGTATACTCCTGTAATTGGGAGGCTAAAGCAGCAGAGTTGCTAATTCAAGGCCAGCCTGTGATACATAACAAAGCAGAGATAAAAAGGAAAAATAAAGATTATGAGGCTTGTGTTATAGAAAGCTTGCTGTGATATCAGTATGAGGAGTGGATTGAAAAGGCAAAAAGATAAGGGAGAGAGTAAGCATACAGTGAATTAAAATGTCTTGGAAACTGTTTTCTGTTGAAGGAAGTATGGACTGAATGGAGCCCTTGAAGGGATCTTCGTTTTAAGGCACCTAGCTTATTAAGTAGGAACTGGCTGTGTACACAGAAACTGGCCCATGTTCCTAAGCTTTCAAGGCAGTGGTCCTCATTCTATATGTCCTACCTGGTCTCTTCTTCCTTGATTGTAGCATAGTGATAACCCATGCCTGATTGTGTAAAAGTCTGCCAGATCAGTGTGATGGTGTGTCTCAAGCAGAGGGCCCAGGAAAGTTTTGGTTGAGTGTGAAAAGTTTAGAGCTCAGGATCCCACTCTGTCCTTTCCCTCTTTCTTCCTCTTTTATGATTTCTGATAGTGATGTTTCTCTGACCTCAGACAAGTGACTCAGCTCTCTGAGCTTTACATTGCTGTCTAAAATGGAAATAGTAGGATTTAAAAGTATCGTTTGAAGGCTTTTAAAGCTTCAACAGTGATCAAGCTCTTAGTGTATTGATAATGTTTTGTTGTCGAGGTGCTGGTGGTGGTTGTTTGTCTTAATTTTTAGACAGGCTGTCACTGTGGCTGTTCTGGAACACTGTGTAGACCAGGCTAGCCTCGAACTCATAGAGATATGTCTGCTTTTGCCTTCCAAGTGTTGGGATTAAAGGCGGGTGCTACTACTAATATTCTGCACAAAAGCAGGAAGTAGTTGGGTGATACGTGTTTTGTCTTCATAAACTCTTAGCCGAAGTTTTCATTGTGTCCATATGGTGAAAGCTTGGCTGGCTTACAGGACACAATTACAACTTAAACAAGACACATTTTTAAATTTTTTTTTTTTTTTTACTGTGGAAAATGTGCACATAGTAGGACATAGGTCCCACACCATCAGAAATGTGAATGGAATAAGTAGCTTCCCAGTATACACTCACCCTTTTTGCCAGCTTGAGTCCCTGGGGTCATTTATTAGTGTTATCACATTACTGCCCTACATTCCTGTAAAGCTCCTCTACTCCTCCCTCCCACGGTAGGAAGTGGTATATGTGCTCTACTTTGGTTTCCTTGCTACCAAGTGAGGAAACTGGGGTCAAAGGAGGTTAAGTTGAGCTGCCCAGGGTCACAGTATCGGTAAGGTACTGTTAAAGCTAGTGCAGACTTGCCTCCAGATGGAATTGTGCTAGTTGATTGTTGTGATTCTCTTCCCTTGAGTGAGAGATGCACGCCCTATCCATGTCTGATTGGCTGAATCCTGCTTTATCTATTTGGTTCTGTTAGGTTTTATTAGATGATTTTGAGGACCAGACCTTTTGGGAAGCAGATTCCCTTTGGGTTGTTGTTTTTAGCCTCTTCCTCCTTTGGGGGACATTCCTTGGGGAAGCTTGGGTTAGGAGGGATTGCTTTGATATGTTTAAAATTGTGCCTTGTGCCCCACAGCTACAGGTAAAATCAGAAGGCAGATAATTTATGGGAGTGTCAAAGCTGGCCGCTGGCACCTTAGGAGGCCATTAGTATGCCTGTTCAGACCCTCTGTGTCCTTGCGATTGATTCCTTTCTGCATGAGCCTGATTTGGGAAGCTGTAGATCTGTGTGCAGTGATTGGATGTGACAGTCCAAACACTGGTCCCTAAATTAATCCTTTTAATAGTATTCCCGCACCAAAGCAATATTCATTCTCCCTCTTTCCCTCCTGCCCTTCTCTCTCCCTCTCTCCTCTCTCCCCCCAATACTTCCTTCTATCTCCCTCTTTCCCTCTGTCCCTCCCTCCCTCTCCCCCCCTTCTGAGAAGGGCAGAGAGTGAAAGAAGGGATGGAAGGAAGCTAACTAGCTTTGTTTGGTGTGCTTTGGTTTCTCTGTTCTAGCATATTTTCCTTCTAGAGTAGTTGGCACCATGGCTTTGTGCATATTAATTTGTTTAGAAAGTCTTTACTTTCTTAATTGTGCCTGGTACTGTGCTGGGAGTAAAGGAATGAATAAAATAGTTGTTGCTTTTAAGAAACCAACTGTGTTTCTCAGATTTCCAAAACTCATGTGCCATTTAGATTAAAACTCTATCTTTCAAGCTGTGTGAAATTTTAAAATGCAAAAAAAGCACTTGAGAAGAAAATAGTTAGAAATTCTGCTTTTTATGCACACATGGATGCCTCCTTTTGGTGCACAGGTATGCCTCTGTGGCTGCTCTCCATCCTTCTTTGATAAGTCTTTTTAAATTGTTAGTAGCAAAAGAGACAGATAGTTAATGTGTCACTGAATAGTGAAAAGATAAGTCATGAAGTTAGAATAAACTGTGCTACTGGGTCACATGGACACCATTAACTTTATCTTGGAGTATCAGAAATCTACGAAAAGAATGGGATTTAGCTGGGTTTTAAAGAAAGTGTTAATTTGCTGGTGAAAAATGGCAGTGCTTTTCCAACATAGAGGGAGCAGCATTTGCCAAGGCCCCAGCTTTGTAGAAGGAAGTGCCACATCTGGGGACCGCAGCAAGAGCTGCCTGTTTCTCCACCTCCTTAGAGCTGTTCACTCTGTAAGGGGAAAGAGTCACGCCTTCACCAGTGCATATGGGAAGAGGCTTGAGATCTGTGCACCATACTGCAGTGATTCTAATCCATGGTGGCCACCATTGCTGCTTTGTGTTCAAGGTCAAAGTGTATTTTTAAAAAATAGAATAATCCTCCCCCTGCTCTCTCTCTATATATATTTATATATGTGTGTGTGTGTGTACATATATATGTATAAAATTATATATCATTATATAATTTATATATATACATATACAAATCTGGATGGTTTAGATTTCGTTATTGCATAAGTTTATTTTTGCTTAAAAATCATACCTTACCTCAAAAGAAGAATTGAAGTTAATATGAATTATTAGTCCTGTAAAATAGTGAAATCAGTCAAGTAGGGAAATAAGACCTATTGGACACAGAAGAGGAAAGTAGAGTCCACAAAAAATTGAATGCTGTGAGCCTCAGTTTCTCATGTGTAAGACAGGAATACAGTTACTATTTTGCTTGATTATTAGAGGATTAAATGAGGTAAAATATGTAACTTATCAGCATAGTGCCTGGCCTGTAGTAAGTTTTCAGAAAGGCATTTTCTTTTCCTCTTTTTCATGTGTTGACAATAGTAACTGTCTTTGATTGAACATGTACTGGTATGCAAAACATTATATATAGTGAGTGGCTGATGTGAACCAGAAAAGATACAAGTATTATTAACAAAAATGTGTAGTCGAGTTAGGGCTCAAATGTAGGTTTGTCTAATACCAGTATTGTATTAACTATGCTGTCCTGACCCTGCTTCAACGCTAGCTTCCTATCTAGAATGGAAGGATTTGAACAGGTTTGGATACCACTGTTGTGTATATGTCTGCAAAGCGAGGAGTGAGGATGTGGGAAGGAGCATTTACAGGGTAGCCATATTTCCTCATCTCTAGCTTTGTCCATGTTAAGAAGGAAGGTTTGTCATGGAGTG